CCGTGATGATGTTAAAGATGTTTTGGGGACAATGTGCCTCTCTAAGTGCTTGCTTTATAGCAGGCCACCAGAGGGTGTCAAAGGCGCTTTGCAGGTCCAGGGATATGAATGCCGTGTGAAGATTTCTGCCTCTATTTTGTTCTATGCTATCTTTAAGATGACTCAGAGCATGCGTGGTTGACAAGCCAGTTCGGAACCCGTATTGCCGTGGGCTGAAGAAGTTGGTCTGCTGGAGATGGAATTTAAGTCTGTTTACCAGTAATTTTTCATAAATTTTTCCCAGAGACGAAAGTAGGCAAATTGGCCGAAACGAGCTTGGGTCATCTGGGGATCTCTGCTTCTTCAGGAACAGGACCACTTCTCCTTTTTTGAAAGCAGTAGGGAAGATCTGGTATTTTAAGAGCTTGCTGAAATATTTCTCGAAAAAGGTAGGGCGGGATGTGTAAGCCACCTTTATTATTGCATAGTCTAGACCGTCTGGTCCCGGAGCCTTTTTTATGGGAAGAAAACGGAAGATTTGCTGTATTTCAGCTGAGTCGAAGGGTATGTCGTCTGGTGTGTTAGGGATGGAATGGTTGTCCCGTATCTTCTGTTGTTCTGTTGAGTCATCATCCGGGTTATCTGCTAGGAAGATTGCATTAAGGATAGCAGATGCTGTGGTTTCTGCAAGATTGGTGTTGTCTGAGTTATTGGCTGATTGGGCATAAAGCTGGTCAGGCTTGTAAACTTTATTTGTAGCTAGTTTATGCAGGATTCCATAGACGTTGGTATTAGCTGTGCAAAATTTCCGCCAGCTATTGACTTTGGCTCGTAGTATGCATTTTTTATATTGCGCTCTTTCCCTGCGGAATGTGGTCAGCAATGCCATTTTGGTGGCTTCGTCCATTACACCTCGGAGACGCCGTCTTAGAGCTCTGCACTTTTGCCGTAATTGGCGTAGTTCCTTAGTCCACCAGCATATGCCTTGTATGCGTTTAGCAGTGCGTGTCTTCAGGAGCTTGTCGCAAATACATCGCAATGTATTGAGGAGATGATCTGTATAAGTGTCTAATTCATCTGGGCTGTTTATTTGGTCTATTACTTCCTCTTCACTCTGTAGGGTATCCGAGAAAGCCTTTGTTAGTGCACGCACTTTATTGTCTGGGATCTTGAAGCGCTTAAGGATAGTGATGCTTGTGTCGGTATTAATTGCAAAGTGGATATATTTATGATCAGAGCAACTCTAAATGGTCAGCACGTCCTGCCACAGAGAAACTCACTAGCGGCATAGTGGTAAAATCGTTGAACACTGTTAGTTCTGACCTGTGTTCGGTTGAAGGCGAAAGAACAGGCTGCATAGGTGTTTTTCTTGGTTTTCCCCATGTGTAAGGTATTATAAGTTTTCCCCTTTCTCTTGTAGCTATGTGAGTGGAACCTCAAGCGAATAATCGCTTTAGCTCAAGAAACAGAAACGTAAACTCAAGAAGGGTTAATTACCCTTCATTTCTCAAAATAAGAATTTACAGTTGGCTCTTCGTTTAGAGAGTACAAAAAGCCTCCACTTGGGCTTGAACTCAAAAGTACTAATAAATCAAACTTAGCTAATGTTTAGTTAAAACGATATAGCCGAAGCTATCAAAATTCTAAAGGAGTTGGCTCCTAAATGTTAACTAAACGGCGAATCTAGCAAGGGGCTGAAATACGGCCGAGTGTAGTAATAGCTTAGAGCGAGTGTAGCCAAAAGGCAAACGCTCGCTACTCAGAATCTCTAGCTCTCTAATGAAGTCAGTGGAACTTCAACTCAAATACCGCTCTTCCTCATTTGTATTAACCGCAATTCTAAAAACACACTCTGGCAGGAAATTGTAAGCTGAAATTAGAAGGGACAGGAAAAGAGCTTTAACTAAAAATAACTATTAAAAACTTAGGATAAACCTTACAGTCTATATGAGCCAGTTTTCCCTAGAAAGTCTTCCACGGAGGCATCCCCTCCTTAAGCAGATAACCTGTCTTTCTTACAGTGTGAATTAAATTCATGTATTTTGTCCTTGACTAACATACATAAAAACACCAACACTTGGTGAATTCGGCGAGTGATTTTTGCTTGTTTAAACAAGAATCTCCAACCCTCTAATTTTAGACTTTTCTGCTCCATACTCAAACGTTTACTGAAAATTATTGGCAAGAATTCATTGAAGAGTGTAATTAGCATATTTTAAAAGTCCAACAAGTTCTTCTAAGAAAATATGCGTATTGTATTAAATGTTTTGTTTATTCAATGAATTTTATAAGTCGCCGTTCAAAATTAAAATTGATATTTTCGTTCCTATTAGCCCATTATATTAATAAAACTTCATTTACTAGAGATGCTCTTTTAAATAATATAATGATTTCAAAATAGCCATACTATTTTTTGAAATAAGCAGAGCTAATTTTAATTTCAATGAGAAATAAAATTTGAAATTATCAGAATTTTACAAATTAGTAAACTTTGATATGATCGGTAAATCTCACGTTGTTAATTTTCTGAAAAGGATTGAGGCCGTTTGACTCAGATTTTGATTCGACATTGTGTGAAAAGTAAGTTTTCATGTTGAAGGAGATAGTTTTATTTTGCATTATTAGAATTTGCTTCTGGTTATAATTTTATAAATATTTTTCTCAAACTGAACATTTTGATACAAAATAAACTGATTTCTACTCTATAAAAGTCTTGAATCAATAGATAAGCTGTGAAATCTTAAATCATTCTTTAAAAATTTGCATCAAAATAGAAATATATTTGACATCTCTTAACTTGTAAATTATACAACTGCATCTTGTATCAAGTTCTAAAAATTGTTTATGGCTATAATTTTAATACAAAATAAGCCGCTTTGTTACCCTTTTAAAATTTTGAATCAGTAGACAATCAGTGGAACCTTGAATCAAAATAGAAATGTTTTTGCTTACCCGTAAACGGTAAATTATACAATTGCATTATGTACAGATCTACAAATGCTTCTCAATTTAGCAGACATTAGTCTCCATTTTGAGCTACACGCGTATATCCTCTTGACCTTTGCTATCCCAGTTAAAAGGCCCACTATTTAATGCCCGTGGTAAATACGAATGTTGCTTTAATTTACTCTACCACAACCTGGCTTAGAGATGCTGCACACAGGCAATCCCTAGCAATAGCGCATCAAAGGACGTTTAAGTAAGCACGGGAATATATAGCCTCCTATTCATTTTCCTGCGTCCTGTGTCCAACTTATCCGCTTGACCGAGGAAGGAAGCCTTTTAAATTAGGTTAATGCAAATTCCGTCAATCGCAGCCCTTATCACTTAGTTGGAAAGGAACTGATTACAGTGGAAACCTGTGCGAAAGGCATTCACGACGAAGGAAAGCCATCTGGTGTAATATATATCAATAATTGACTTAATTTCAGACTTCCTGTTCGTGATTGCTGTGATTGAATTGAGAGGCAACGCCATCTACTTTTAAACGCATTTAAAAATAATTAATATGTCTATATATTTTAAATTATACAGCCGATTTCATTTAGATTAAAATATAACGTAAGATTGTAGTAATGAAATTTTGATGTTATATAATTAGTCTAATTGTTGATCACAGCAAAACTCGAGACTTCAGGAGGGATAACATTATGCAGGACTTTAAAAAGAAAAATAGTTCATATTTTTAGTACATGGGTAAAAAAGCTATGAAATCAAAGGCAAGCATACTTTTCACTGGGTAAAGGACCATGATCAAACTATCAGTGTTGAGGGATTTTTATCCATTTGGCCACTAGTTTGCCCGTTTTGTATAGTAATACTCGAAAAAGTTCCTTACACAGAAAAAAAAACTGCATGAGTGTTTTGCTACATAAGCTAAATTTGGGTAAATACGCAAGTTGTGAAGTCACAATTTAGGATATGCAAATGTATTAGTTACTTAAAGTAATTTAAAATATTTTGTTTATTTATTTAATTAAATATGATGGAACACACGAGGGCTATCTGGCTAAGGATTAAGTTAGGTTAGGTTGAGATACAATAACACGCCGAACAAATATTAATTTAGAATTCTAACAACAAAAATCAGCATTAAATTTTCAAAATTTAGATTAAAATTTATTAATATAAATTTATTAATATAAATTTTATTAATATTATATTTTATTGTAAATATAACGCTGATTTTTGTTTTTTCACTTTAGGTTAGGTTATGCTAATATGGCAAAGCTCGCAAGTACTCTCTGCCCCAGAAAGATGAATTAAATATCTATTACTTTAATGCATAAAACACAATGCATTTGGTTGAGGTAGCTAGTCCATCATGGTTTGTGGTATTATCGTTGTAAAATTTATTATTATTATTTGGTTAAGCGTACAAAAGGATTCAACTTGCGTACAATTTACGTCAGCTGCCAGTGAGCCCGATTTGCAATGAAAATGTGAGATTATTTTGACTGTCTTGGTTAGAGGTGGTAGAGTTACTAGATTTTTTATGCTGGAGACGGGAAGGATGTGCAATGCCCTCTCAGGAACTCGAACACCGGACCTCCCGAATATGCACTGAGTGTCTAGCATACGAAAAGGTGGAAGAAAACACCTTATAAAGTGAATTTTTGCCAAGATTCTACTAAAGTCTACTAAATATTTTTGCCTATTTTTTGTTGAGATAAACACAAAACTTAACCATGTGGCTACAAATTTACCATCACAGCTTTTAAACCAAAGACCTATCCAAATACTGTTTTGTAAATTAAATGGAATGTAAGCCAAATATATTTATTTATAAGAAAATACGGTAAAAATAAAGTATTGTTCACATATATTATCATTGAATGCATCTGGATTGAAAGTCTGATACAGTAAAACTTCAATAATTACCAAAATGCAGGCTTTCATTTTTCAAGACAGTTTACTCCTGCAGAACAGAAATTTTATAGGTTATCTTTCCGAATACACGTTATTGAAAGAAAACTATTTAAAAATTTTAGTGAAAGAAAGGTATTTCAAAATTTGTACAAGTTCTTTATTTCCCAGTACGTAAACATTACACTAGCAGACTAATGATTTAGAATGCATAAATACAGGAAATATATTATACATAGAAAAATTCACAAATGTTTCGAAGGACAGCACAAGTAATATTAAGGAAATTCAGCACCTCAAAAATCATTTCTTATATTGATATGAATACAAAGTACTTCGCTAAATATTTAAGGAAATATATCATGCAGTTGGCACCTTTGATGGCAATAGAAGGCATTCAGCATATATTTATTTTACTAAGATTACACTGAAACATTTATTCAAAAACGATTTAAAGAGATTTTCAATATCGTATTTTCTGAAACAGGAAACTTTCTTTTTCCTACCATAACGTTTCTAATTTTATTATTAAAAGATATGTTTGTTTTTGAAAGATTTCTTAAACTGCACTACAATCTTTGCTATGATTGAAAAATAAGATTCTGCTATTGTAATTTATTTAAAAAAATAAATAATTCTAAAAATGTGCTTAAAATGGAACACATAAACTTAAATAAGGAAATTCAAAATACAGTATCATTTCTTATATATCTGAAACTTTTGAGATTGGTATTAAAAACAATATTTCAGCTGATCACGGTCAGTTTGAACACTTTTATACGAAATAAATGTCGATATCCATTTTAGTTTATTCATTTCATAGACTACTGTACTTTAATACATAAGTGTGACTGCTTCACGTGAAGAAGAAATCTCGTACAAAGTCGATTCCAGAGCCAATGGTTTTAGAGAAAAATTAAATGTTACTCGTATCTGTAATTTTTCAGTTTTATAAAATTCAGTTACATTTTGCTCAATTTTAAATTTAAAAAGATTCAATGATAAAAATATAATACTAAATATTATATTAATCAAAAAGTAATATGCAGACTAGCTTTAGTTAATGTTAAATTTAATCGGCTTACTGAAGCTTATAAACAATTCAGTCCTAGTATCAACGTTTTTAGATTTTTCAATAACAGGAAGTGAACATTACGCCACGAAACGAGTTCTAAGGTATCTTAGATTCTAATTTTAATTAGAGCTACTGGATCTTAATTTAAATTAATTAATTAAACTGAATTAAAAGTATTCGATGAGGGTACTTGTTAACGTCAATCTTTAAAATAATAACAATAATAATAATGCAATTCTTGCGCCTTTAAATTGGTAAAATTTGTACTTCTTATGTGGCAATTCTCTATAGCTATGTTAATGTAATTTAAAGAACTTAAGTAGTTCTTTCGTTCGTTATGCTTCATTTGAAAAAGGTTAAAAATAAAGTTGTTAAAATATTTTAAATTCTTTTGTTTTAAAATGTATATTACATCCTACAACGGAGAAAGTTGACTACCAAAGAGCTATGAAAGTTGCCGGAGATCTCCGTCAAAATTACTCCAGTGTCTAATTTTCGTGTAAGGTACACACGGGATTTGACGATTTTTGGCGACATTACGATGAGCGGTATTTAAGATCAGTAGAAAAACGAGTCATTTTGGTGTTGACAACAGTTTTCAAAATACGCCAAGGCCGTACCGTATACTAGGATTTTATTTTGTTTTAATCATTCCTGATGAATTGTGAAGATATATAGTTTCTCTTTATTAAAAAAAACGATTAATATTCCACTCACTTCCTTTTTGCATTAGAAATAATCCACTGCTTATTTTTCTATAGAAGGCAGGTCCCAAATTTTAGTATTAGTTTACAAAATATAAGAGAAAAATCCAACCATAATAGTCAATTTATATTCTTGATCATAAAAACGAAACGTGGCACATTGCAAATCAATTGGAGTTATATTAAACAAAAGCGAGGGTGTTATGATTTTATTGCTACATCCTGCATGTCTAGAATTGGCGCTAAATCGCACTGCTTAGCGGCACTTCTACGGTCGAGGGGATAATATGTGAAGTATCCTTTCATTTTCAAAAATGCTATATCTACTGAAATATACTGAAATTCTTTTACAATTATTAATTTTGACTACTATGACGCATTTAGTCATGAATACGATTCAGAGAAAAATATGCTTTAAATAGCTTTCAGTCATTAAAGTTTTAAGTAAATTTCTTAAGCTAATTTCAGAAAAATAATTTTTTGAAGAAAGTTTTCAGAAAAGTGTTATTTTACTAATATAAGAAACAGTAGAAATCATCTTAATGCACACAAACTTTGATGAAATAATTTACGCACAGATTTATGCAGAGTTAGTAAGAAATCTGTACTATTAGATCTGCGTGCGTTCCTCTGTTTGTGACATCATCTCCTCCGAACAGCGGACAGTTGAGTTTTGACAGAGGTACTGCCGAATTCCAAAAATTCGTGGGAAGCCATTTCGATCTTTCTCATCTTCGTAAGCCTTTAATCAGCTGAGAAAGTAATTAGAAGCTTTGAAACTCTAATTTTGGCAATTATGTTTCCGAGTGGCAAAAGTCTCTCTCGCTGGATTCTGACGTTGAAGAAATCACGCGATTGCATGCGACGTTTATTGTATGTCGAAACTTTTACGTTAATGTCAACATTTTAAATAAGTAGCTGCTGTTGGCAACTTTTTTCTGTATCAGGGTAATATATAACTGACACGATAAGTTATTGCCACATTAATTCTTTTATTGATGTCGAGAAAAAGTTGTTATATTACATTAGATTTAAATCATGACGTTATACGCATACCGCAAATGTCAAACGTTTTTGTTTTCTGATTTGGCAACAGAGAATTATTTACGAATTGGTTGTTATTTGGAAAGAATGAACTGATTTCATTTATATTTTAATGTTTTAATACATTTTTTTCCAGGTGTAGATATAACGTATAAATTTTGCTTTGGCAGCCGCCCACTCATCTGGCGAGCTTGCTTGCTAGTCTATAAGTAAAAGTGATTAGGTGTCAATAAAAATGTTCAGTGTTAACTTGCACTACAGAGTTATTCATGAACCGTTAACAATTTTAAAAATTCCTAACAAATAACCTGCAAAACATATACCAGAATTCATTACACTGAAATAAGAACGAACTCATTAAATTGTTTTCATATACTTCACGAACGCTCTATGTACCACCTTTGTTGATGCAACACATATCTAGGTCCAGAGGATAGTTATTTGATGCTATCAGTTGAGAGAAAGAAGTGATGATTATTTCTTTCAACAAGACTATCCATCTCATTGAGACCATTATCGAGTTCGTTTGGGGTAGTATTGCGATCAGAATTTACCACAAATACAATTTGCGAGAAAGTCTCAGTCATACAAGACAAAGGAAAGATTTATTTTCGTTCACGCTAGAAAATCTTATTAAAATAAAATAATTTTATATTGGTATTTATAAGAAATACAATTACTTTTATTAAATGATGCCTTGAAAAGGTAAGATTTTTCATTCTGCTAAAACCTCTTATCTTGTTAAGGCATTAAAATTGTTTCAACTTTCAAACAATCCCCCTACAAATGATTTTTAATAGCCTTAAGAAAGTAGGATTTTATGACCTACGTCCATTGGGCAGATAACTGCTGAACATTTTATTGAATCGATCTCATGTTAAATTCATAGTTTAATAAGCTTGGATTGATACTGTCCAGGAGTAGTCTCTCTAAATGACAGAACTTTATTAAACCATTTTGCCGCCCATACCAGTGACGGAGAGCGATTTTTTTTTTAAATTTCCGACGATGAGCAAATACGCATATGCCACCGATGTGTTATCTAACCAAACATTTCGAAACGTATACATCTTGTCAAACACAGGGTATAATGATCTGGAAAGCCATCTGTTACGGTAGCCTGTCTCCTTTGGTTCGTGTTTAAGTATTGTCCGCTATATTCTTGATAACTTTAGAAATTAGATTACACTTTTTTTAGCTGGTGTAAGCAATGCCTTATTTCGATAACGTGAAGCACACTTATATTTGAAATATCTGATATCTGAATATATATAATATCTGAAATAAAAATTACCAAGTATTACTATGTTATCATAACCTGCGAAAACCCTAGATACTAAAATGATTGAAAGATCAATTGAAAACAGCTGATATATTTAATGTAATATAAAGGCTATCTCCAATAAGAGAAAATTGTTCTTAATAAGTTGGCGAAGAATGCCATAGAAATTATAGAACATTTCCAATCTTCATTTTTCTCATAGTGAAATCCACTACACGACAATATTACATCTTTTCTTCCAGGCATTAACATTTTGTTGCATATTTCTCCCGTATTACCAAGTATTTTAACAACGTTCCGAGAAAACCGCATTGCCTTTATTTAGGGTCGGAATTTAAGTTTATTAGCCTAAGGAAAAAAGTGGAAAAACCCTAAATTTGTTTAAAAATATAGTTATTTTTTAATATATGAAAGATTTTACACGTTTTCAGTATTTTTTAAATTTAGATACTTTTGTTGTAATTAGTAAACGTTTTGCTTAAATATTCCTTATTTCAATTAAATTGAACCGTAAATTTTGCAGTTTTCTTCTAGGTATATTCTGAAGAATGCTTGATTCAAGGTGTTTCATTAATCATATTATTTTGAAATGAGTCTTACATATTGATTGCAGTTCTGCATTTTATAATGCATTTAGAACTTTCGTTACATTTGACTCCAAGCTACTTCATGCAGATTTCATGAATACATAATGCACAAGAGTATGATATAACTAAAATATAGTATAGTTCAAAACTACACAAGCAATTTTCAACTGCGTTTATCATCAACATTTGTATATAACTTATTCATTCCCATATCATCATTAATCACTGTCAAGAAATGGTGACAAGATATAAAACTCGAAAGCTAGGGAGTGAGTAATGCAAGGTTTTATTTGTACAGCACTAACTTTAAGGTGTTCCGAAGATTAAAAACGGTTTTTGGAAGAGTTAAGGATATGATGAATAATTCAACACTCGTCATCTGGTTCAGCAAAGGCATTTGACTGATGGTAATAATCAAGTTGTCCTTCTTTCCAGTATTCTACGGAAGAGGTAAAAGAAGGTGAGTATCGAAGGCGACAGAAGGTTGGACTGGTTATAGAATCGAGCACTCTTAGAGTAACCTAAAATGAGAATTTAAAAAAAGCATATAAATCATTAAGTTTACAAAGTTAAATAAATCGAAAACTTTTTCTTAAATGTATTCGCAAGAAATACTGGATGGATTCAGCTGCGAATAATTATATGATATTTCATTCTTTTAGGTTTACAATTGTTTGACGCATTCGCAATAATAATTTGCTTTCATAAAAAACACTATCATAACAAAGGAAAATAAAATAAAATTAGTAATGAATATTTTACTAAATGTTGTCGGGCAGTGATCTCAAACTCAAATTGAAAGCAGGCCAAATGTACGATCTAATAATACCTAATGGCCCACATCTAAAAAAAATGAAATCGAAAAAAAAATTCATATTTATAGCCATTTTGTCTTGAAATCAAGCTATTATTAGAAACTAGGTCATTAAATCTAGCAAGCAAACGGCATATCTTCACGACTCTAACAAGGACATTCATCATATATGCATATTCGCTTGAGATTCAGTTACTGAGAAGGTGTTGCACCAGGTGCAAATACTGCAGTATAAGTTTTTGAGGTTAGTTGCGGACAGGCCATATTTTATTAGGTACCAGAATCTTCTTCAAGATCATTAAATAAAGCAAATTAAGGAATACCTATAAAGAATTAAGAAGCAGATTTTCGCAAAAGCGAGAACTTGTAACATGATCAGCTTCGAGAAAAATCTAAAGTATGTGATATTCCTCGATGAATATCATCCTAGGCCGTACACTGCATACGCAACTTGAAACTCTAGTACAATATGTGATATTCAAACAGGAGTTGAATTAACTATTACCTTATAAATACAGAATCAAGGGAAACGGGCGCCGCGGAAAGGTTCTTAGGTATTAAGGAAAGAGAGTACCAAAAAATTTACCATTGCCAGTTTTATTAAAGAATGCTTGGCTCGTAAACCAAAACCGACAGAGAGAGAGAGAAGAAATGAAGGAAAAAATAAAACTGGCGTAAACATATGTATGGGCACCAAAATCTTTTAAGTGCTTAGGACCTCTAAATTCTTAACTGGGCCCTGTTAACTGCGCCTAGGTTACTCTCTGCCATCTACTCTAGATCTTAACTATATTAACTCTCCATATTGTTATGTAGGCTTCTACCTCTTTTCTTCTCTCTCCTCCAGCCCCCTCATATATCAATTCAACAAAGAAACATGATAATGTCAGTGAGGTATTTGTATTGCCGTAGCCTGAAAGAATTTATTTTACATACACTATAAGGCGCTACTCAGTGGATTCTAGTGTAACGTAATGATTCGAGAATAGTCACAGAACTAAGTCTTTCGTCCATTATTACAGAAGTTTCGCTAAATGGAAGAGCGTGGATTTTGCAGCTGTTTATTAATGAGTATTATCATTTAACGAAACTCAGCTGTAGCTTCTTATAGTTATTTAATTATTTCTTGCAATTTGTAATGCATCAGCGTTAACTAATTGTGCCAAACTCCTAAATTTTGTTGATCTATCATAGAACTCCGGCATATCTCTACGTATTTGTGAAATAAAAATTACACATACTAACGGACTTTATCAATAATCCTTAAATCTCCTAGACAACTTTTATTAATGATATTATTTCCTTCTGCTCTATACTGTTTAACCCTTTGAAAGCCAAAACGCTCGAAACGACTTTCATTCAAACGGACACAGCCGCCCGAAATGGCCGAGTTTGCGATGCTGATTTCTTCCCTTCCTTAAAGCGCGCAGTATCAGGTGCAGTTTCCCCAAATGCATCGTATCAGTTATTGCTGACAGTTTGTCCTGAAAGGCTAATGGAAGCTTCTTTGTTAAGAAGCAGAAAGGATGTCATTTTGAAATCTTCAGAACTCTTCGTGCGTTAATAGACGGGGAGGGAAGAAAACGGAAGGGACGTGCAATGGATGGTTGAGGAGCGTTTCGGTATTTTAAAAAGCATGTTACCGAAGGCTTTGGTTTCCTAAGGGTTAATCAAACACTGTAAGGTTTAACAAACACTCATCGGAAGAAATGTTTTACTCGCTGCCAAAGAGTGTCCATAAAATGACTCAAGGGTCTAGGGATCCCAGAAATGTCAATGATGTGTTAGATTCTGGAAAGTTTTCGTGAAAGAGAGGTGCTCTTTAGCGAAATTTCATCTACAATTCCTTATAGCTGTTTAAGTATTATCTGCACAATTTCAATGTATCAAATCTAATTAGTTATGCCATTTCTAGTCAATTCTCTCTTAGATCATGGAAAACAAAACATTAAATCAACTTAATTTCATTCACTTTCTTCGTTTTATTAAAGATATGCGTCTGTGTGCGTCAAATTAGCGCGTCATCGTTCAAAAACACTAGGAAAAGGGCAGAAATAAGAATACTAAGAAATAAGAGCACTAGAAGAAGAGCTTCAATTATTTGCTTTTTGATTCATTATCTGAAGAGATGAACAAAGAAAAGAAGCTATTCATGTAAAAAATAAACTCACATTTTTTATTTAAAATATTTTAAGGGTATTTCCGCCATATTTCTTCCATTCTCTTGCCGTAAGTCTTTTTCATCTGTGAATAAGTATAGCATTTACTGAATGATTTTTTCCCTCCAACGGAATAAAGACATTTTACAGCTAATTCTATGGGTACAAACACAAATTAGTAGCAACGCAAACAAAATTTAAAGCAATTAGTGACTCTTGATATGGGGTCAGTTCACTTTTATCAGTATTTCGTATAAAATTTAATTTGCATTTACCTTAGTATTTTTGTCAAGGATTATTGATTTTTAACAGCAATTAAATGTGAAAAAGTTTAAAAATAAAATATGAAAAGTAACCAATGATATAGTAAGAAAAAACTATCGATTCACTGAATTTCAAAAATCATTTTCAAGTGAATTAATTTTAAATGCCTATCATATTTAGAAACTGGTAAGAAAGCTTTGCAAACCCTTTCGGCATACAGTGTGTAAATAAAATATTTATTTGTTTACTACCATACATTATTAATGGCAATATTATAAATTATTTCATACTTACATTTAAATTAATTGCCATACTAATTAATATATATTAATTAGTATGCAAATATGTTTTATTAAATTCACTTACATCTAATTATAATTGTCATAATAAGTATAATTTTTATATCGTAACACAGTTAATTACAAACTTTACTAACTCCTCTCCGGACAATTATCTGTTATTAGCTATCATGATATTTCATACACAGTCGAACTCACTTATAACGAGCGCAAAGAGACAGCGATATTTGTTCGTTATAACCGACTGCTCGTAAAAAATGGTTTTATGAAAGTGTCATAAAAGTTCATATAGAGTGGGTAAATAAAGTATTGGCAATTGTCTATAATTGATCATATTTCCTAACAAAAGAAATGCTTGACAATTTTAGCTAGGCATAACACAGGAGGTAATAACACCAAAATCTAATAAAATTTCAATTTAATATGTCATTTACACAAAATATACAACAAAAACATAAATTTGCATGTCAAAAATGCAATAGTAAAGTTTTAACTCCTATGCAAATTTTTTTATGTTGAGGTCACGTGTTTAGAATGATAAGAAACCATGTTAATATAAAGTCTGCAATGCTAGTTCAAAACTTTTAAAACGTTATTTTGCTGATACTATGATAAACTGTCTTCGAAGTCGGAGGAGGTGGATGTTAGTGTTAAAAACATGATTATTCAGCTCAGAAATGAGGCTTTAACTAATAGTGCTGTAGAATTACGGTTGAACTTAAGTTTATTTAGAAGTGGACGGCCTCGAATATTTTCTGCAAGCGAAAACATTGCATTATCAAACATGTTAAGAAAATCTCTAAAATAAGTGCACCCCAGTTAGCCAAAGATGTTGGTAATACTTTGCATAAAACGTTTAGTGTTTTACACTATACGGAATATTTGAAATAGAGGAAATTATTATGGGAGAGCAGCAAGAGAGAAACCTTTTATTTCAGAAATAAACAAGAGAAAGAGATTGGATTTTGCAAAATATCATGTTAATTTATGACGAATTTTGGAATGCAGTTATTTTGTCCGACGAATCAAAGTTTAACATTTTCGAGAGTGATGTACAAATATATGTGTGGAGAAAGCCAAACACTAAACCGGAAAACAACGTTTAACACCGACTGTAAAACATGTTGGAGGAAGCGTCGTAGTTTGCGGCTGTACGGGCACAAACGGAGATGGTAATCTGTGCTTCATTGATGGCATTATGACAGCACATACGTACATTGATATAGGACGCTATAACATGAAATTCAGTGCTCAAAAACGTGGCTTAGGTACATCATTTGTCTTTCAACAGGTTAATGACCCTAAGGATACAGTGAACTTCACCTGGCAATAGTTAATCTATAACGCTTCGGGTCAGTTAAAGACACTGCCTCAATTGCCTTACAAAAATTTAATTGAAATGTTAATGGCACAAATTAGACCTAGAAGTCAGGAAACATAAAATTTCGTGTATATGTTGTAGGATGGCAAAATATTCCTAACAGGACTTTGGTTTTCACAGCAGGACTTTTTTCAGCAACCAGGACTTTAATTTTCTGTATGAGAAATATGTTACAAGTTGTTAAAAATACAAAAGGTATGAATACAAAGTAATAAATTTTGTTCCCACATTTTGCTATATGATCTTGCCAATACTTTTTTGACATACAAATTTACGTTTTTGTTGTACATTTTATGTAAAAGGCATATTAAACGAAAGTTTCATTAGGATTTGTGTCTTTATTGCCTCCTGCGTTCATTATGTCCAGCTGAAACTGTGAAGCATTTCTTATGTTAGCTAGATTGATCAATTACAGACAGTTGCCCAAACATGTTTTACCCACTGTGTACTTACTATATTATATATGCTTTATTTAATTTTTATTTCTGTGCAGTACAAAAGAAGTTAGTTAATTTGCTTCGAACCGCCTTATTGTCTCTTTCATGTGTTACTGTTCTTCGGAGAAGACTCATGGCCTAAAAAACATCGCCATTTGCACCAACGG